CTGACACCCGGCCAAATGAAATACAGAGACATTTCATGTCTGTGTAAAAGGGAGGAAGGTGTTTTGGACTGCCCCTGCTTTAACCTTCAAGAGGTCACTCTAGCTAATGTTCCTGTTTCATCTGACAAGTCCCCAGCATGTGGAAAGACACCAGATAATCCTAGGAGACCAGAAATGATTGAGGTAAAGCACATTGGAGAGTGGTGCGTCGTTAATTATGACAATGAAGCATACCCAGGTATCATCATGGATGCAGAAGGGCACAGTGTGAAAGTTAAGTGTATGCAACGCCATGGCATAAACAAGTTCAAATGGCCAAGTCTTCGGGACGACATCTGTTGGTACCATGACTGGCAGGTACTTTGCCTAATACCAGAACCACAGGCTCTGAACAAGCGCTCTGTACAGATTGAAGTGTCTGCATGGAAGTATGTGGAACAGCAACTGCAGAACTGAGCCATGTCTCTGCAGAAAGGGAGAGACTGTTTGGAGATGCGTCCAAGTGATCTTTCTGTAATATTCTGTTTTTTCAAATCAACTGTTCTCCACTTAAAAAACATTTTTCTTCTTGTTCTACAGTTGAATGTTTGACTTTCACTGTGCAGAATGATGTACAGAGTTTAACGCTAGAAGGCCACATTAATGTCTCATTTTGGGCATCTTTATTCAGTGGCTGCATGCAGGTAGAGTGGATCAAAAACAGTCTGTTCAACTTGTAATTTCCCCCTACATGGGAAAAGGCATTTTTTACATCATTTTCTTGCATTGTTCCTTGCATTTATGAGGCCATTCAATGACATTTCACAACGTGTCCACCCTGTCATGCCCAGGGTCCACCCTGTCATGTCACTGTCCACCCTGTTATTTTCATGTTCTATGAAAATAAACAAATTATTTTCACAAGTTAGCAAAATCTTTTGTGTGATTCCTTTATAAACAAATGAGGGCCAAATAGTATTGTTTGAAAGTTTGACCAGATATCTTTTTTGTTAGATTTTATTTAGAAAAGAAAGTGCAACTCTCGCAGATTTTATAGAGAAACAAATAGTTTGCCATAATTTCATTATTATCCAAATACTTTTCCCATAAACTAAAATATATTGTTGAGAAAGTGACTAAATAGTTTTCTGAAAATGTACGTTTTATAATCACTATGTAATTACAATGTATTTATTCTGCTTTGAAATGTTTTCCAACACTCTTGAAGGAGTTCCCACATATGCTGAGCACTTGTTGGCTGCTTTTCCTTCACTCTGCGGTCCAACTCATCCCAAACCATCTCAATTGGGTTGAGGTTGGGTGATTGTGGAGGCCAGGTCATCTGATGCAACACTCCATCATGCTCCTTCTTGGTCAAATAACCTTACACAGCCTGGAGGTGTGTTTTGGATCATTGTCCTGTTGAAAAACAAATGATAGTCCCACTAAGTGCAAACCAGATGGGGTGGCGTATTGCTGCAGAATGCTGTGGTAGCCATGCTGGTTAAGTGTGCCTTGAATTCTAAATAATTCACTGACAGTGTCATCAGCAAAGCACCCCCACACCATCACACCTCCTCCGCCATGCTTCACTGTGACACAACGGTTGGAACCAAAAATCTCACATTTGGACTCATCAGACCGAAGGACAGATTTCCACCGGTCTAATGTCCATTGCTCGTGTTTCTTGGATCAAGCAAGTGTCTTCTTCTTATTGGTGTCCTTTAGTAGTGGTTTCTTTGCAGCAATTCGACCATGAAGGCCTGATTCTCGCAGTCTCCTCTGAACAGTTGATGTTGAGATGTGTCTGTTACTTGAACTCTGTGAATAATTTTTTTGGGCTGCAATCTGAGGTGCAGTTAACTCTAATGAACTTATCCTCTGCAGCAGAGGTAACTCTGGGTCTTCCTTTCCTGTGGCGGTCCTCATGAGAGCCAGTTTCATCATAGCGCTTAATGGTTTTTGTGACTGCACTTGAAGAAACTTTCAAAGTTCTTGAAATGTTCCGTATTGACTGACCTTCATGTCTTAAAGTAATGATGGACTGTCGTTTCTCTTTGCTTATTTGAGCTGTTCTTGCCATAATATGGACTTGGTCTTTTACCAAATAGGGCTATCTTCTGTATACCACCCCTACCTTGTCACAACACACTGATTGGCTCAAACGCATTAAGAAGGAAATACATTTCACAAATTAACTTTTAAGATGGCATAACTGTTAATTTAAATGCATTCCAGGTGACAACCTCATGAAGCTGATTGAGAGAATGCCAAGAGTGTGCAAAGCTGTCATCAAGGCAAAGGTTGGACTACTTTGAAGAATCTCAAATATAAAATATATTTTGATTTGTTTAACACTTTTTTGGTTACTACATGATTCCATATGTGTTATTTCATAATGTTGATGTCTTCACTATTATTTTACAATGTAGAAAATAGTACAAATAAAGAAAAACCCTGGAATGAGTAGGTGTGTCCAAACTTTTGACTGGTACTGTATGTCAATTGACTAATCAAATCTAATCAAATCAATACTCTTCGTTAGTCAGCACCTCTACAAAAAATGTTGTGTGTGTCAACTCATGCTTTTTACTAGACCATGAATGAAATAAAACCTGCCCACCTTGGTCCACAGCTTGAGAAGCTCAGGCGGTAGAGAACTATCATCCTCCATGTTGACTGGCTCCATATTGATGGGCCCCTCTGGCTTCCTGGCCTGGTTCACCTTTGTTAAATACACAGTGCAAGGCACACCTGTTAATTGAAATGCATTCCAGGTGACTGGAATGGCGCAGTGGTCTAAAGCACTGCATCGCAGTGCTAACTGTGCCACTAGAGATCCTGGTTCAAATCCAGGCTCTGTCGCAGCCGGCCGCGACCGGGAGACTCATGGGCGGTGCACAATTGGCCCAGGGTAGGGGAGGGAATGGCCGGCAGGGATGTAGCTCAGTTGATAGAGCATGGCGTTTGCAACGCCAGGGTTGTGGGTTCGATTCCCACGGGGGGCCAGTATAAAAAAAAAGAAGGAAAAAAAAAAGATATGTATTCACTAACTGTAAGTCGCTCTGGATAAGAGCGTCTGCTAAATGGCTAAAATGTAAATGTGTGACTACCTCATGAAGCTGGTTGAGAGAATGCCAAGAGTATGCAAAGCTATCATCAAGGCAAAGGGTGGCTACTTTGAAGAATCTCAAATATAAAATATATTTTGATTTGTTTAACACTTTTTTGGTTACTACATGATTCCATATGTGTTATTTCATAATGTTGATGCCTTCACTATTATTTTGCAATGTAGAAAATAGTAAAAATAAAGAGAAACCCTGGAATGAGTAGGTGTGTCCAAACTTTTGACTGGTACTGTATGTCCGCTTGCTCCCACCATCACCACCACCCTATGGCTATGATGACGGACATACATGAGCTGGACTGTCCACACACACACACACACACACACACACACACACACACACACACACACACACACACACACACACACACACACACACACACACACACACACACAGTGGAATAATTCATCTTGATAATAAACAGAGACACACTGCATCAACCTGCCATGTAAAATACAGGGCCTGGAACTTATTGAGAGACACACCGATGGAAATAAAAAAAAATAGTCATTTAAAATAGCAGCGCAGCTATAGCAGCAGGCACGTATGCATGTGTAATCTGATGACTGTCTATGCAGAGTAACATGGGAGGAATTCTGATTGGTATCTTTGAACTTGATTTAAGCGTCACTCACTCAAGAATCTGGGAATTCATAGTGATAGTGCCAGTTACGTTCCCTAATCCCTAGTGCACTGAGATGCATGTTGAGTTGTCGGTATGCTGGAGAGAATGCAAGTGAAGGTGAAAAGTATAATATCCTTCTTTAGAGTTATTTTGATTTTGTTTTGAATTTGTTGTCCATTCATTGACTTACTAATGATGTAGAACTACACAAATGAGGCATCATGCACCTCATTTTTTGAGGGGACACTGATGGCCAAATGTGATTTTTTAAATCAATTTTCTGTAAAATTAACGATATTGTCTGTATTTTCAGTGTGCTCCGTCAGTTGGATGAGCAAATGGCAATGTACCACCCACACCCATAGATCTTGAATAGCCAGAAGGAACTATATAAGGCTGTTCTATTCCTATTGCTTTTCCACTGGGGGTCTGACAGAACAGTGTCAATCACAACACAATGAGAGCACAGGCCAGGGACCAGGGTGGTCTAACAGTGTCATCACAGCTTAACCAAACAGAAGCCCAATGGATGACGAAAGTGACATCCACAACTTGCAAGGCCATTCTGTGAAAAATTCACTAAGAAAAACACTTCTTTACATGTTATCACTAGCATACACATATTACAGATAAGTAACCATTGCAAAATGTTCTATTGCATTTAGACTAATCTTTTTCCCAATATGTTTTTCATATGCATGATCAACAAGCTTGTTGCGTTGGAAGGTCAGTCAGTGTAACCAAACACTTTTATGTTTGGAAAGTGGGAGCGATGGGACTGGATGCCTGAATTTACAACTCGTTTGAATGGACTTTTAAGGCTGGTGTCATCATTCTGATTGACAGGGTCATATGATACTTTAGCACCACAGGCTGTATCAAGCACTAAGCATGGACGCTGTTTAAGAGAAGAAAAAGCGTGGTCACCCATTGGGCCATATGAAAGATCCTCTGCTGTTTTAGAGGAAATGTTTTCCAATGGTAACCAGGTCACAAACTCGTGGTGGCCTAACTTGCTTAACCGAATTCGTAACATTTGGAGGGCAGCCAACTCTTAGATGGCCTTGTGGCTTCTGACTAAGCGTTGTTCCATATGGATTTATCTCTTCCACAATGCTGGAATGGATGTCATCAAAACGCTTTTCTACGGATTCTTTCCCAATGGAGTTTTCTTTGTGGTGGTGGGGTATTGTACTTAAAATGGTTTGAAGGCTAGTTTTGGAAAATGTGATGTGCTCTTGTGCCTATTTGTAGGCCTGCTATAAATAGGTTTGGCGGGCTACGCATGCTCATGTTTGATTGGAAATTGCACAGTGCCTTGAGCCGGAGAGAGTGGTGGGTCCATCTACAAAGAGACAAAAGGAAAGCTATGAATGGTGAGTTTACCTCACAGATCTGATGGTAGATAGCTTGTCGATGAATGATGATATCATGGATGTGTTACCAACTGAACATAACAACTTACTTTTACCAAACATCTCTGTTGCTGATGTCAGGTTCTATAGTATAAGGCATTACACTACAATTGATGAAGATAATAGAAGAGGTTTCATTAATATTTACCAAAAAGGGGCATCATCTTGATTTTGTATCTTATTATTCAAAATAACTTACTGTCATTTTAATTTCTCTTTCAGCTGCTTTCTCCCAGATTTAGACCATAACAGATAACCGCCACAGAAGAAAACCTCATTTGTTTGGTGGATTGACATCATCATCTGTCGACTTCTCTGAGGAAGTTTCTCCTGGGAATTTAAGTTTGAAAGAGAAACTCTATCTGTTGGAGAATGAGTTCCAGGAGGCTGATGACACGCTCCTACTCCGCGGGGGACGGGAGGTCCAGCTCCCACAATGGAGATGATGTCATAGGGAGTAGCAGAGCCAGCAGCCGCAGCTACCTCTCTAGTGTCAGGCCTGAAAACAGGTACACAACCCTGCAACCCAACACAGGAAATATTACTGTACCTAAACAAGCAACAAGAATGTAATAATCTGTTTATTACCACATCCCTCTCCTTTTGAAATTAAGTTTAACCATTGATTCAGCATCATTGCATTATGAGGTCTTAACAATAAAACAATAAACATGGAATTTATAATGCCATTTTCAATTAAAATGATTGGATGGCTTGGATTGAAATGATTTCTCAGTGTGTTAGTTAGTTATAGATAGTTGTGTTAGTTATATTTACATTACATTTACATTTTAGTCATTTAGCAGACGTTCTTATCCAGAGCGACTTATCTTAAGGTAACTGGGTGAGACAACCACATATCAAAGTCATAGTTGGTTTCCATGGTGTTGTTTACTGTATTTAAGGCTGTTTGAATGGCCAGCTGATAGGCAACACTCACTACCAGCTCATAAAAAGCTATGATCATGAAGGTCAGCTCTCAGCTCTTTATAAATAAACTGCAACTCACTGCATAAGCCTGTGTAAATTCAAACCGTCTTCCAAAATGCATCCCAAAAATAGAAGAAAAGTTGATGAAAATCCAATCTTCCTACTACTGGGTATGTCCACTTATGACCAAGTGCGTGCTGCAACCTAGTATGAACTATCAAGTCAAGTTAAAACAAGTATTCTTAGTTGTAATTCAGTAAAATATTAATGGTACAGATTGCATCATCATGTAATACTTGATGACGTCACTTAGTGTTTTTCCACTGTCAGTGGTTTGATCTTGTTTTATTGTTGACACTAGGCAATAGTCATTCCAAATAAATAATGAAACAAACCATGTCCTTAGCAGCACCCTATCGTAATGATCTGGCAGAGAGACTGAAAAGATGACAACACCTGACAGAGTGACTAGACCTACACATAAACACTCTGTTTATGGCCATTATTACAGCCATGATATATCCACCAATTAAGATGTTTCAAGCTATGGTGTATGGAGTGATATTAGTGCCAACAGAAATAGAATCTGAATTCATTCATTTTCAATTCAAATTACATTTCTGAATACAAATGCAGTTTTTGTTGTCACTCAGTAATGATCCTTCAATACCTGCGTTCTGTATTGAATGCACTATATTCATTTAGAGTCATGTATGTCTCATTACTGTAAAATGAATTTCATATGGACTAAAATATGGGAATTTGATAAGCAATTTGATAACCAATGAAATGTGATAACCAATTATAATCATTTGATAACCAATTAAAAGCATTGATAACCAATTTGATAAGCAATTAAAAGCATGACAATGGGTGATAGTTTATGTAAGAGCACTTCTTCATGCCAGAATGCCTATGCATTGTGCCTGATGAGCTGCTTCTATTTGCTTCCTCTCTGCATAGCTACTCCAGTCACAGCTATTCTCAGTACAGGCCATCAAGGTACTGTCATGTATTTGTTTCATGAAATTCATTTCAACTAACACCAGCACTTGCTATCTTTTAGCTTTTCTTTAGCCTGACTTATGTTGCCTCCCCATGATGACATTGAGGATGAAAGTTGGAACAATGTGTGCTTGGTGAAATATGTTGGCTTATATTTGATTATAGTGATATTGGATTGCACCAGATATTGCATCACAAACTACATAACACCCATTTTGACCTCTGCAATTCTTATGGAAAGCAAGACAATCCATGGAAATCAAATCACTAGGATATGGAATCACATTACCTTACAGTATGTAGGGTTGAATGTGTTGATAAAAATGTGTTTACATATTTTACAAACTATTGCATTGTATATACCGCATATTTTGGCTATCTTCCATTGCCCTTATAGAAGATTACATATTTAGAAAATAGCTTTGGCCCAGGTGAGAGACATTTGTTTGAATTTGAAAATGTAACTAAGTGTGTTATGCAGGAGCACACTACATTGTGTTATGGCACATTTAACGGAGGAGACCCAGCCATCCTTTGAGACAACATTAAAGTCAAGAGCCGTATCTGAAACCTGTAACATCAAGTTCACCTGTGAGGTGTCAGGTAAACTCTCCTCCGGTGTGTGAGTGGGTGCAATACGTTGTTTGTAATAGCCTACATACTTGGTTGTTGTACTTGCTAACCACTATTATCTATCTGAAGATTTTACAGTAAGTGCGAAATGTAGTCTTTATCACTCTCTCTCGGTTTCAATTTGTTTTCAGGTCACCCCGCTCCAGAAGTGACATGGTACAAAGATGATTTGCAATTGGACAGATACTGTGGACTACCTAAATACAACATTTCCCGCAATGGACAAAACCATTCATTGCACATTTACAAGTATGTATCAGGCTCATAATTGTCATTTGTATTGAAGTCAGTTTGGTTTGTATTGATGCACCCAAAAATGATTTATAGCGATGTAAAATAATTGTGCAGCAACTGTATAATACAAGTATCTATAATTTGTTTTCTTTACAGTTGCACTATGGAGGATGCAGCCATCTACCAGGCGTCAGCCAGGAACAACAAAGGCATTGTGTCTTGCTCTGGAGTCCTTGAGGTGGGGACGATGAGCGAGTACAAGATCCATCAGCAGTACTTCGCCAAGATCAAACTGAAGGCCGAAAACACACGCAGAGAGCTGGAGGAGCCCAAGCTGTGGGACAAGGAGAACCACGGGTCTCCTGCTGGTCGGCAGGAGACACTGAGGACCATCAGTCCAGACCGGTCCCAGAGGAAGAGACGGTCCCCCATGGACCCCAGCCTCAGCGCCCCCTGCTCTGTGGAGGATGAAGGGGTTGAGGAGAACGCTCAGGCTCATACTGGGGAGGCAGAGGCCAGGCTACAGGACACACCTGTGGGGGGAGAAGAAAAGCGGGAAACTAACAGGGCTGGGGCTTCCAATGTCAATGGACAGGCAGCCAATACAGAGAATAGCAGCAGCAAAGGCCTGACGTATGTTTACGATTCAGTGCAAAAGTCTTTTGCTCCACACACGCCAAACGCATCACTGGCCAAGAAGAAGATAAAGATCTCCAATGGAGAGGAGAGTGGGATGACGGCTGATAGCCAAGCAGGGAATGGGCCTGAGGAGAGAGGGATGAGTGAAGGAGGAGAGGTCAGTGTGACACCCTGTCTGGTTGAGTCCTCACCCTCACTGGGGTCATCAGAAGAGGTCATGGAAGTGGAGAGTGCTGTTGAAACTTCAGCCTCAAAGACAGAGAGTGTAAAATACATGAAGCAGCCTGAGAGAGCCCCACTGAACAACACTGTGTCAGTAATGGAAGAAGTGAAGGTCCAAGTGAAGGATAAAGTACCTGTACAGACCCCACCACACAACGGACAGCCTAGCATCCTGTCTCCTTCTACTGGGGTCCTCTCTACAGGGGAAACCATCTCAGGGAATAAGAGTCAGAATGGTGCAGTGGCTCAGGTGACGCAGAAGGTTGGAAATAACAATATTATGGGGAGTCAGAGTACAGTTCCTCCTGTCACCTCATCACAATCACAACCAAGTCCTTCAGCTAAACTAAAACCACAACCAAGTCCTCCTTCAGCGAAACCTCAACCACAACCATGTCAACCAAGTCCTCCTTCTGTGACGTTACAACAACAACCGAGCCATATAGTAAAACCACAACCACAACCAAACCCTTCAGCGAAACCACAACCACAACCAAATCCTCCTTCTGGGAAACTACAACCACAACCACAACCACGTCAACAAAGTCCTTCAGCAAAACCACAACCATGTTCCTCAGTAACCCCACAACTACGTCAACCAAGTCCTTCAGCGAAACTCCAAGCAAGTCCTTATGTGAAACCACAATCACAACCAAGTCCTTCTGCGAAACTACAACCACAACAAAGTCCTTCAGTAAAACTACAACCACAACCACATCAACAAAGTCCGTCAGTGAAATTTCAACCACAACCACGTCAAACCAGTCCTTCAGTGAAATTACAACCACAGCTACAACCACATCAACCAAGTCCTTCTGCGAATCTACAACCACAACTACAACCTCAACCAAGTCCATCTGTAAAACAACAACCACAACCAAGTCACTCTGTTACGCCACAACCACAAGCAAGTCCTTCAGTAACAACTCCACAGGTGTTAAGCAACACACCAGAGGACATTAAACCCCATCAAAGCAATGTAACAGACATGGAGGTAGACGATAAGCCTTCTGCCCTGGAACACCTAAACAGCACCACTACTCCCCTAAAAGCTCAAACTGAATGCCCAGTGAAGGGTTCAGCATCAGTGCTTGTGGTGCTAAACTCAGATACAGTTGAAGTTGCTGGGGGTTCAGTGGAGTCAGTACTAACAACACCCTGTAAGAGCAGCGAGGCTGTCTCTGCCTTGCCTCAGCGTCTGTGTGAACAGTCAGGAGATCAGCTGTCTGTGGAGGAAACAAGCACGTGCCCAAAGAATGTGTCTGTGTCTCGGCTGCCTGCACTGCTGGGCGAAGTGGTGAGTGTCTCTGCCCTGTCCCTATGAGCTCATGGAGCGCCTAACATTTCCAACACACACCAGCCAGATCAGATCAGTAACACAAGCACCCACAGGGCTATTATTAGACTTTACAAGTATGCCCCTCTCTGTGTGACAAGACTTATGTGTAATGATGCATGTGCTGGCACGGACAGCAGCTATATTACCACTGCTACATATCGAATGGCTGAAAACATGAATATAGAGATCGAAGAGTACCTCAAGGCTTATGTTGTGCGTACGCTTTGTGCAATAAGGATTTTGGGAGGTCAACCATCTTAGCTGGTTTGACAGTGTGAGGCTTTAAGGCTACAGAGAATGGTCTTGGTGGCGGAAAACACTTGGCATGAGAGTGAAAAGCACAATGGTACAGATGGTTTTGGGTTGGTCCAGACATAGAGAGAGGCAGAGAGCATGAGGAGTAATATGTTTGCTATCCTTGAGAGTTGAGCTGCACTGTTATCCTCGTCTTTCAGTTAAACTGTTGGTCGCAGCCAGGCGAACAGAGAGGAAGATGATGTCGTTTTTTTGTCTCTTATCCAAAAAATTGTAAATCATTTTAGGCATTGATTGTTTTTTCTCTCCAAAGAAGACATTTATGATTTCATACTATTAGGGCTTTTTGAAACACTGCACCTTCTACTGAACCAAAGTCAAGGAAGGTCTAGAAACAAAGTACTGTGAAAATAGTGCTGAGACAGACCTCTGTTCCACTAAAGCACCCCTTTGAATGAGCCACATTCCATTGTCTCCTCACTAAACCTAAAAACATTCCATGTTTTAGTCTGTCTACGTGGTCCTCTGTAGCTCAAGTGGTAGAGCATGGCGCTTGTAACGCCAGGGTAGTGGGTTCGATCCCCGGGACCACCCATATGTAAAAATGTATGCACACATGACTGTAAGTCGCTTTGGATAAAAGCGTCTGCTAAATGGCATATTATTATTATAGTCCACTGTCACACACTCCACTGTGAACACTGTGAGAGAGAGAGAGAGAGAGAGAGAAAGGTTATTCTGCACTTTCTTGTTTCAATGAAACCAGTGTAGGCCTACAATAGATTGTTGTACAATGTGAACCTAAGAGCATACTCTCCCTTCTGTACTTGTCATTGTAAATGTTCACATACTCACCATTTCAATATAATTTGTTAGTTGATTCATCAAAGGGGATACACTATTATTTCACACAACACCATATTTTAGTTCTGTGATATTGAAATCAAAGTAGATGTAATGTGAATGGTCCTTTCAGTAATTCTGGGCTTATCTCATTCACTGATGGAGTGACACATGAATCACACCGGAGCCAATTAAAACCTCTGGAGCTAATTTCAGCAGACCAATTATATATGGTGCTTATTTCAGCTAAGTTAATTATCTCTTAATGTTATGTTTATCTAAGATTAAAGGAACATGAGCTCAGACCAGGAGTCAATCTCACAACAGATCCACATGCACTCTGCACCTGGTTACAACATTACACTCCTCGTCCTGTAATGTGGGACTACACTGTGTTTGTGAGGGTATTGTTAATCTCTATGGCTCATCAAATGACCTTTTAAGTGAAGTAATAATCATATCATAATCAAATTAGTTTAATAACACTACACCACCAGTAGCTTTATTAGACAGTATTAAAAGCTTTCTATCTGAGGGGTTGAACCTGTGTGAATTATAGTGATTTGACTACAAGCCATAGCTGTCAAGTCAAGAACAGTTTGTGAGAAAGTAACAGAGTTATAGCTGGAAAACAGGATTGCCCCATCTATTGACCGGGTTCCAGTTAGTAAATATGTCTGAGCACTCAGCACTTAACACGAGAGCGAGGGCAAAATTGAAAACAAGATTCATTCCATATTTAGATACACTACATGATGAAAAGTATGTGGACACCTGCTCGTCGACCATCTCATTCCAAAATCATAGGCATTAATATGGAGTTGGTCCACCCTTTGCTGCTATAACAGCCTCCACTCTTCTGGGAAGGCTTTCCACTAGATGTTGGAACATTGCTGCGGGGACTTGCTTCCATTCATCTACAAGAGCATTAGTGAGGTCGGGCACTGATCTTGGGTGATTAGGGCTGGATCGCTGTCTGCGTTCCAATTCATCTCAAAGGTTTTCGATGGGGTTGAGGTCAGGGCTCTGTGCAGGCCAGTCAAGTTCTTCCACACCGATCTCTACAAACCATTTCTGTATGGACCTCGCTTTGTGCATGGGGGCATTGTCATGCTGAAACAGGAAAGGGCCTTCCCCAAACTGCTGCCACAAAGTTGGAAGCGCAGAATCGTCTAGAATGTAATTGTATGCTGTAGTGTTAAGATTTCCCTTCACTGGAACTAAGGGGACTAGCCCGAACCATGAAAAACAGCCATTATTCCTACTCCACCAAACTTTAAATTGAGGCACTATGCATTCAAGCAGGTAGCGTTTTCCTGGCATCCGCCAAACCCAGATTCAGCCATCAGATGGTGAAGCATGATTCATCACTCCAGAGAACGCGTTTCCACTGCTCCAGAGTCCAATGGCAGCGAGCTTTACACCACTCCAGCTGATGCTTGGCATTGCACATGGTGATTTTAGGCTTGTGTGCGGCTGCTCGGCCATGGAAACACATTTCAGGAAGTTCCCGACTAACAGTTATTGTGCTGACGTTGCTTCCAGAGACAGTTTGGAACTCGGTAGTGAGTGTTACATCTGAGGACAGACGATTTTTACGTGCTACGCGCTTCAGCACTCAGCGGTCCCGTTCTGTGAGCTTGTGTGGCCTACCACTTCCTGGCTGAGCCGTTGTTGCTTCTATACGTTTCCACTTCACAATAACAGCACTTACAGTTGACCTGGGCAGCTCTAGCTGGACAGAAATTTGACGAACTGACTTGTTGGAAAGGTAGCATCCTATGACGGTGCCATGTTGAAAGTCACTGAGCCCTTCAGTAAAGCCATTCTACTGCCAATGTTTGTCTATGGAGATTGCATGGCTGTGTGCTCGATTTGATACACCTGTCAGCAACGGTGTGGCTGAAATAGCCGGATCCACTAATTTGAAGGTGTGTCCACATACTTTTGTATATATAGTGTATTTAGAGCGATCGTCTTTCTCCTCTCTCCTTTTATCTTTGATTGACTGAGATCGCTGTGTCCCTCCAGCTCTCCAGCTATGTGTAGAGTAGAACTGGTACCATCACTACACACAGGGATAAATGAATATGTGTAAATACATACTGACATTTATTTTAAAACTAGTAAAAACATCTGCAGGTGACAGAGCTTTGCACATTGTTAGGTTGTGGATGTGGAATGCATTTCAGTTTTGTCGGGGAAAAGGTCAAGCCTTTGTTGTTATTTTGGTAGTCTTTAACACTTACAGCAGTCTCTTTGATGACTTGTTCATAAGATAACGCTTTTAAGTTCCACCCTGGTTTTTGATGTGTATATAACAATGATGTGTGTTTATGTGTCATGGATATGACTGTGGCAAAGTATTTACAGAATGGAAATCTGTCTCTGCTTGTATTGTGCCTCAAGGTTACACAGAACCACAGACAGACAGCGAGAGAGAGGAATGGAACACCTGTCAGGCAAGAACCTGTAATACTAACCATCCGGAGCAAGCTGGACGGACAATCACCTTCGCCACAACAACGCTCTCCATCGTCATCGGACAGAGAGGTCACACCAGATGCCAACAAGTGGTCTCCTACTTTGCACAATCCTCCGTGCCAATCGGCCTCTGACAAAATAACACAGGGCACATGGGATCTTTCCAGGGGATCAAATGAGAGCCATACATTACCTTTTACAGAGCCACTAAAGTCACCCCTCGAAAGCCTGGGTGTTGGTGAGAAAACCTTGGGGTGTAGTGTTTCCTCAGTCGGCCAGCAAGGCCAAGTTGAGATAGCTATAAAAACCGTTGGGGAGACAGAAATACAAATTGAGGATAAAGTACAGGGTAATAATCTGTCTGAGTTACATGCACAGGGAGACAGTTATGAGAGAAGAGCTGATATGGAAACTGTTTATGAAGTTAGCAAAGTTCAGGAAGGTGAAATTGAAAGACTTACGAAAGCACCTGAAAAGAAAAACGTTGAAAGTATAGCAGTGGCTTTATTTGATGAAAAGAGTATACCTGTGTTGAAGATAGCAGAATGCCAAATTCCACATATTCAAAAAATGTGTTCTCCAAATCCTTCTCTTAATCCCCGCTTTCAGCCTATTATTCCAGACACATCCCAGACGGCAGACACAACAACAAGTGTCCCAAACACAAACATCTCAGAACAACAAACAAAAGCCCCAACACCTGTAGCCATAGTAATATCTAATGCCGAGCTTCTAAGGTCACAAATGGAGAAAAGTGCCCCTACAGAAGTAAGTCCAGTGCCACCAATTTCAGTGGCACCCAATCCAGTGCCACCCATTTCAGAGGCACCTATTTCAGTAGCTACCATTTCAATGCCCCTTATACCAAGTATAAACACAGACAAACAACCTAAATGTCCTCCATCAACTGACATACAGAATGTGAGAATGCAAAGTCCAGAGTTGAGGATGGATGAGACAGAGTACAGGCAGGAACCTGAGAAAGACACTTGTAAGAAGGAAACCGATACGTCTGTCGGTTCTATTTCAGCTTCAAATGTAGAATATAGGTTTACTACCTCTGAACCAGAACGAGGTGAGTCTCCCATAGTTAGTGCTATGACTGAAGCCTCACCTAAAGCTTTTGATATTCCTCCTATCTCTATCATAGACATGGATGGCACTTTAGAGAACAGTAATCCTCCTGTATGTATAGTGACAGACATTGAAAGTGTCATGGGTACAGACCAGGAGCATCTTTTGGATCATAATGCTGATATTAGTCCGGCTGCGAATAAGGATGGTCAAAGGGAGTCTTCTCTTGTTACTCCAGAGCAGAAGTCCTCTGACATTACAGTTCCTCCTACATCTATCTCATCGGTTACCTTCACTGCAGAGAAACAACAAACACTAGAAAATACAGTCAAAGGGATGGATTCTTCACACTCACTGCCTCCAGTGTTCAGCAGTCAACATGGCAGAGACAAAAGGTGTGCTTCTCCCCTTTCGGAGCGTTCACAGGAATCTAGCTCACTTCCTAGTGCCACTGAGAACCAAAGTATTTCTACTAAAAAGCCAGGATTTACAAACAACATTGCAACCCCGAAATTGCAACCTGTCAGTGAAAAACGGAGAGACTCTTCATCAGATACTGGTATTATTTTAGGTCGGAGGGAAGCATGCAAACCTGATGTTCCTCAGCCTGGTCCTCAGACTGTACGAAGGTTTGATACCAAGGGTTCCCCAAGTAGTGAGACACAAGGGTCAGTACCTGTTCCCACCATTCTGTTGGATAGCAAAGGCTCTCCATCCAAGGAGGTGAAAGTTGAGGAAAATTCAAAGCCAGACTCTTCAACATCTTTCCCAGTCACTGAAAGCAGTACTGGGCTGCTGAAGAGATCAGACAGTGTGTCCCCCATCCCCTCAGCCACCCCAAAGGAGCTGGCCTCCGGCGCTCGACGCAAAATCTTAATCCTGAAACCCAAAGGAGAGGACCCGGAAGTTGCTGCTTCACCAATTGACACCTGGAGCCCCCAGAGAGAGGAGGTCCCCAGGATGAGCTCCAGGCTCTCCCCAGAGTCCTCCTCTCCCATGTCCCCTGGTCTGTCCCGCAGGTCGCCCCTGCTGCAGCCCCCCAACGGCCAGCACACCCCTCCAACAGAGAGACGCTCCCCACTGCTCAGTAGGAGGAAGCTGGCTCCAACCTCAGAGTCCCCCAAACAGAGCCAGGAACCTGCCCTGGAAACAACCGACACTGCCAAGACTGAGGAGAAACCAGCTGAGAAGGACAAGCATAACCCATTCAAAGGTAAACTCCTTTCAAGATATATCAGCTTAGTGTAAAAAAAAATGTGCCATGCTTTTAGAGAGTAGCTAGTCTTATTCAATTAAATTAACCATTGGAGTCAGTGTAGTTTCCTTTGGCTAAGCTCCAGTAGGGAGTGTTATCGAGAGCCTCCGTGCTTCCTACTCTTGTTTGCTTTGACACTGTCACGAGATGGGGCGTTAGTCATAGAAATAGAATGAATAGAACTGGCTTGCAACCTCTAAACCTGGCAATTTGACTGGGGACGCCCGTTCTATTCATTGTATTTCTATGGGGCCAGCTACTTGCCAGGGGGGTTTAAATGGAGGCTTAACTGAAATAGTATCCATATTACTTAAAGTTAGGAAGCTGAAACATAAGTAAGTGTTTATCTTTACCTAGTTGTGCCTGTCTGTCGGGGGTCCCTTTCTTACTGGCACTACTCTCTCTCTCTCCCCTCCTCTCTTTACCCCCCCCCTCTCCAGCTCCTCAGGTCATCAGGAAGATTAGAGGAGAACCCTTCTCTGATGCGGCAGGACATCTGAAGCTGTGGTGCCAGTTCTTCAACGTTCTTAGTGACTCCACCATCAAGTGGTTCAGGGATGAGGTGGAGATCGCTGAGGTTAAAAGAAGGTAAGTCCTCCATGCAGGCTGCCTTGACGTGAAATACTGTAGCCAAAATTTGGAAAATAGAGTTCATAAAAGGGATCAACAATAAAATAATCACTATCAAAGCCAGTTTTCCTGATGGCCACAATGTAAAGGTGTTATAGAGACACCATGTGGCTGAGCAATTCTATAGTTAGAGCTTTCTGAAACTGTTTATTTTGCTGTTCTGTCCATCCCTGACTCCTGTGTGTTTCCCAGTGCAGGAGATGAGACTCAGGTAGCGTTGGCTATTGTCCAGACGTCCAGCAGAGACTGTGGAGTTTATGGCTGCACCATCACTAATGAATACGGGACAGACACAACAGACTTCCTACTCAGTGTTGACAGTATGTACACTAGTGTCTCAGTTCAATTTCTGAAGTTTGACTTGTTTCAACACGTTATCTCCTATATCTTTCTGTCTCTGATCTCTCATTCTGTCTACTCTGTCTCTTTTTTGCAGTACTCTCTGGCATGTTTCTGCGTGAGGATCAAGAAGGTAAGATTACATTTGTCTATTATTTGTTAGGATTTACTTGGTGTTCAATACTGTCCGGTCACACCCCATTATTAGCCTTGCGAGGCACCTGATCCCCAAGCTTACAGTGGCTTGCGAAAGTATTCACCCCCCTTGGCATTTTTCCTATTTTGTTGCCTTACAACCTGGAATTAAAATGGATTTTTGGGGGGTTTGTATCATTTGATTTACACAACATGCCTACCTCTTTGAAGATGCAACATATTTTTTCTTGTGAAACAAACAAGAAATAAGACAAAAAAACAGAAAACTTGAGCGTGCATAACTATTCACCCCCCCCACCCCCAAAGTCAATACTTTGTAGAGCCACCTTTTGCAGCAATTACAGCTGCAAGTCTCTTGGGGTATGTCTCTATAAGCTTGGCACATCTAGCCACTGGGATTTTTACCCATTCTTCAAGGCAAAACTGCTCCAGCTCCTTCAAGTTGGATGGGTTCCGCTGGTGTATAGCAATCTTTAAGTCATACCACAGATTCTCAATTGGATTGAGGTCTGGGCTTTGACTAGGCCATTCCAAGACATTTAAATGTTTCCCCATTAACCACTCCAGTGTTGCTTTAGCAGTATAAACCACCATGCTTCACTGTGGGGATAGTGTTCTCGGGGTGATGAGAGGTGTTGGGTTTGCACCAGACATAGTGTTTTCCTTGATGACCAAAAAGCTCAGTTTTAGTCTCATCTGACCAGACTACCTTCTTCCATATGTTTGGGGAGTCTCCCACATGCCTTTTGGCAAACACCAAATGTGTTTGCTTCTTTTTTACTTTAAGCAATGGCTTTTTTCTGGCCACTCTTCCGTAAAGCCCAGCTCTATGGAGTGTACGGCTTAAAGTGGTCCTATGGACAGATACTCCAATCTCCGCTGTGGAGCTTTGCAGCTCTTTCAGTGTTATCTTTGGTCTCTTTGTTGCCTCTCTGATTAATGCCCTCCTTGCCTGGTCCGTGGGTTTTGGTGGGCGGCCCTCTCTTGGCAGGTTTGTTGTGGTGCCATATTCTTTCCTTTTTTTAATAATGGATTTAATGGTGCTCCATGGGATGTTCAAAGTTTCGGATAACCCAACCCTGATCTGTACTTCTCCACAACTTTGTCCCTGACCTGTTTGAAGAGCTCCTTGGTCTTCATGGTACCGCTTGCTTGGTGGTGCCCCTTGCTTAGTGGTGTTGCAGACTCTGGGGCCTTTCAGAACAGGTGTATATATACTGAGATCATGTGACAGATCATATGACACTTAGATTGCACACAGGTGGACTTTATTTAACTAATTATGTGACTTCTGAAGGTAATTGGTTGCACCGGATCTTATTTAGGGGCTTCATAGCAAAGGGGGTGAATACATATGCACGCACCACTTTTCTGTTATTTATTTTTTTGAATTGTTTGAAACAAGTTATTTTTTTAATTTCACTTCACCAATTTGGACTATTATGTGTATGTCCATTACATGAAATCCAAATAAAAATAAATTTAAATTACAGGTTGTAATGCAACAAAATAGGAAAAACACCAAGGGGGATGAATACTTTTGCAAGGCACTGTACATGAATGGTTAGCTCCGTTCAGCAAACCATTCGTGTAAGCTTGTGGGATCAGGCGGCTCACGAGGCTACCTCATAATACCACTTCCAGTGCATTATATTTGATGATCTTTCCTCTCTACAGTGGGAGAGGAGATAGAGATGGTCCCACTGCTGTTCACCAAGGGCCTGGCTGACTCTGGCGTCTGGGGAAGCAAGCTCTTTGGGCGTATCATGATGGAGGAGGCCCATATAGGAGAGGGCTGCTCCCACAAGGCCTGCAGGGTGAAGGTCATCTATGGGCTGGAGCCGGTGTTTGAGTCTGGGACCACCTGTTACATCAAGGTGAAGAGCCCCATCGCCTACTACGGAGCCAAGGAGGAGAGTAACCTGATCGAGAGGAACCTGGCAATCACCCAACAGGTGAAAGGTTTTCATTATTTTACATAAACTAAATGTTTAAAGGGAATCAATGTTTCTCGGTAGTAAAAAAATATAAAAAGATTGGGCCATATTATTGATGTTATGAAAGGAATCGCAAAAACATTTAGTCAAAGCTCTGACCCCTAACCCAATTCAAGTTTTTCTGTCTGATCATAAATGTAATCTTCTTTCCAAAAGGAATGTAGAATTCAGAACCTCGCTCGTGAATACTGCAAGATCTTTGCTGCGGAATGTAGGGTGATAGGAACCTTTGGAGTAGCGCTGGAGTGAGTGAGATCATCAAAATGATTTGAAACGTATTATTTCACTACTTTGTTTACTCCTCTGTCATACCACAGTGTGTGTATTTTCTTGGTTACACAGAGTGATCCCAGTCTACCTTATGTACCGGCCTGCCAACACCATTCCCCACGCTACGGTGGAGTCTGACCTGAAGGGGGTTTATCTGAGGTACTGTCTGATGGACGCTACAGGCCGGCTGGTCATGAGAACTGGCTCAGAGGCTGCACTGAAGTGTTGTGCTCTGCAGCACTGGATCCTCCAGTGGACCAATGGAAACCTGCTGCTCACTCGGATGGAAGGTACAGTGTCCATAGTCTCGGATGGAAGGTACAGTGTCCATAGTCTCGGATGGAAGGTACAGTGTCCATAGTCTCGGATGGAAGGTACAGTGTCCATAGTCTCGGATGGAAGGTACAGTGTCCATAGTCTCGAATGGAAGGTACAGTGTCCATAGTCTCGGATGGAAGGTACAGTGTCCATAGTCTCGGATGGAAGGTACAGTGTCCATAGTCTCGGATGGAAGGTACAGTGTCCATAGTCTCGGATGACTAACTCTACCAGGACATTGTTTGGGCTGAATAACAGAACAGGTGAAATTAACTTTAATTTTATGTGATTGTGTTGCAGGTGTTGACTTCAAGATCACAAATGTTGGAATTTCCATCAAATCGAAAGGGTTGGTAGGCCTATAATTTTTTCTGTTGTATTTTCTGAACATTGTGTTCTAGAGATATTCATGACTACATAGACCATTTACAATTACAATACTGTAATAACAAACTGTGGCACAAAGCTCTGTCAACAAACTGTTCCTTTACTCATCTGTAACATTGAATCTATTGTAATTATTCCAGGTACCAAAGTCTCAGGATCACAGAGAACCCCAATGTGTTTGAGCAGTTTGTCTCTCAGCACCAGTGTAACTACTACTGCGGCCTCCTCAGCCTGAGGTCACTGAAGACACAGGACTCCCTGCAGACTCCAGCCAAACCCAAGGGTTCCAGGAGCCCCCTGCTCCACCGCAAGATGGGCGGCTCCTCCAGGTATGAACCACTGCACTTAAAGGAAATCTCCACCCAAAAACGAACTTTTGGTATTTGTTTCATTAGTCTATTGTTGATATAGTCCCAAATTGTTTTTCATGTCAGCAATCAAGTTTTCAAGATGTGTAACTTTCAAAATACTGAAATCTGGACCGTATTATGCATTTAAAACACAGCATCATAGGATGCAAAATGCATCATTCAGGCCAGATTTCTGTATTTTGAAAACTTGATTGCTGACATGCAAAACATTTTGGGACTATATCAACTATGGGATAATGAAACAAATACCAAAATATAGTTTTTGGATGGAGTTTTCCTTTAACCCCCAAATCCTCTCCATCCAGGGGCACTGTGGCTGATCCTGTGCCTCTCAACATGTGTCTGGGGGCTGTTGGTAAAAAGGTAGAAGTTGAATTTCTGTGCTAACCAAATTGATTAATACAGTACATATTCTATTCAGTCCCCAGCCCTCCAGGAAGGCCACAGGAAGCCCCAGGCTGACCAGAAAGCCAGCACAGCCAGAGGACAGCAAAGCCACCGCCAAGCACATGGCCAATGATGTCCCCAATGTTGTCTGAAGTTAGAATGGCTTCATCGGCCGTAGAGAGCAAGCAACTGCTTTTCTCAATAAAGATAATAAATGCTGAACCAGATATGGATTTACTGCCAGACTTGTCCTCCCACCTATAGAGCTTTGGGGGAGCTGGGAGCCGGTCTGGGATGAAAGGCTGGTGACCCCTCCTCCAAGCTGTGACACACAGACAGACAGACAGACAGACAGACAGACAGACAGACAGACAGACAGACAGACAGACAGACAGACAGACAGACAGACAGGACAGACAGACAGACAGACAGAAAGACAGAAAGACAGAGACAGACAGACACAGAGCCCTGCGTCCCAAAAGAAAGATGAGATCAGAAGGAGAAAGAGAAGGTCAGGAGAATAAAGAAACCAGGAGAAGGAAGAACGTAAATGCTGCCAGACATGACAGAGGCTTCATCCACATCTTTGAATTCATTCTGTGTTCAAATAAACAATGAAATGCCCCTTCAGTTTTAATGGGAATGACGCCTCTGTTGCCAGAATCGGAGACAATGAAATGAATGACTACACTAGTATGTCCTTCAAATTATTAAATTACACATTAATTTCACTAATGAATACATTCTTAATTTATTTAGTAGATTCCATTAAATTTTAAGCTAAAGCTTTAACATTATACACGGTAGGCTACCTGGATTCCTATAGCATATTAGTAATAATTCGGAGTAGTAATTCACATATTAGATCGCAAGGTTAGCACGCCAGCTCGATTCAGGTCCCAACAACATTCATATTTAGGGCAAATAAATGTAAAGGGATGTTGTTGAGGAGTAAAAGGTTATCTTCAGTGGTGAGAAAACTATGCCCTAAGAATGTACAGTATATTGTATTCCATGACACTGTGAATAACAACGTGGTGCTTTTTATACTGTAACTGTCCCTACGTTTTCATGTTGCAGTGTACGACATTCATAGAAAATGCTCACTGGATGCAATGGCTGTAAAATAAAATAAAATGTATAGAAATTAAGCCTCTTATTGACCAGGGTGTGTTTTCTTAATGAATTTTGAGTGCTACCCTGGAAAGCATTTGACATGTAATGTATATCAGTAATGTGGATAATGAGGTATCACTTGCTGTAATCTGACATATACAGTTGAAGTCGGAAGTTTACATACACCTTAGCCAAATACATTTAAACTCCGTTTTTCACAATTCCTGACATTTAATCCTAGTAAAAATTCCCTGTCTTCGGTCAATTAGGATCACCACTTTATTTTAAGAATGTGAAATGTCAGAATAATAGTAGAGAGAATTATTTATTTCAGCTTTTATTTCTTTCATCACATTCCCAGTGGGTTAGAAGTTTACATACACTCAATTAGTATTTGGTAGCATACCTTGACTTTGTTGTCCTTAAGCCATTTTGTCACAACTTTGGAAGTATGCTTGGGGTCATTGTCCATTTGGAAGACCCATTTTCAACCAAGCTTTAACTTCCTGACTGATGTCTTGAGATGTTGCTTCAATATATCCACATAATTTTCCTTCCTCATGATGCCATCTATTATGTGAAGTGCACCAGTCCCTCCTGCAGCAAAGCACCCCCACAGCATGATACTGCCACCCCCGTATTTCACGGTTGGGATGGTGTTCTTCGGCTTGCAAGTTAGCCCCTTTTTCCTCCAAATATAACGATGGTCATTATGGCCAAACAGTTCTATTTTTGTTTTGTTTCATCAGACCAGAGGACATTTCTTCTTTGTCCTCATGTGCAGTTGCAAACCATAGTCTGGCTTTTTTATGGTGATTTTGGAGCAGTGGCTTCTTCCTTGCTGAGCAGCCTTTCAGGTTATGTCGATATACAGTGGGGAAAAAAAGTATTTAGTCAGCCTCTCTCATCTTTTTAAGTGGGAGAACTTGCACAATTGGTGGCTGACTAAATACTTTTTTTCCCCACTGTAGGACTCGTTTTACTGTGGATATAGATACTTTTGTACCTGTTTCCTCCAGCATCTTAACAAGGTCCTTTGCTGTTGTTCTGGGATTGATTTGCACTTTTTGCACCAAAGTACGTTAATCTCTAGGAGACAGAACGAGTCTCCTTCCTGAGCGGTATGACGGCTGCGGGGTCTCATGGTGTTTATACTTGCGTACTATTGTTTGTACAGATGAACGTGGTACCTTCAGGTGTTTGGAAATTGCTCCCAAGGATGAACCAGACTTATGGAGGTCTACAATTTTTTTCTGAGGTCTTGGCTGATTTCTTTTGCTTTTCCCATGATGTCAAGCAAAGAGGCACTGAGTTTGAAGGTAGGCCTTGAAATACATCCACATGTACACCTCCAATTGACTCAAATTATGTCAATTAGCCTATCAGAAGCTTCTAAAGCCATGACATCATTTTCTGGAATTTTCCAAGCTGTTTAAAGGCACAGTTAACTTAGTGTATGTAAACTTCTGACCCACTGGAATTGTGATACAGTGAATTATAAGTGAAATAATCTGTCTGTAAACAATTGTTGGAAAAATTACTTGTTTTGTGGAGTGGTTGAAAAACTAGTTTTAATGACTCCAACCTAAGTGTATGTAAACTTCCTACTTCAACTGTACGTATCTGACATTACAGATGTAGGATTGTCATTTGGTCATCCTGTTGCAAATATGCATAAATACATTTTTAATTCAGAGACCTGCTCTGAATGGACCCGAGGACGACCAGTTCCATATAAACGTGGTCGGATCCAAGTGAGGGAAGCAGCAGAAAAATCTATTTGTAAGCTACTTTAATTGGAGCTGATAAAGTGCAAGGGAGAGCAGGCGGAGGAGGGGCCTTGCAGAGTGAAACGGGAACAAGGAGGGAGGGAGAGGCAGCAACCAACTGAGCCGACTTGTGCTAGTAGACTAACTTCTAGCTTGTTATAGCTAGGTTATTTATCTTCCAATATGATTACGTAGTACCTGTCTTGACTGCATCCATCCGAGAGAAGCTAGTTGGCTAAGATAGCTAGCTACCCCTTACAAAAATGAATTTATTACCACAGATAGCTAGGTCCTACCGGCCGGCCAGATAGCTAGGTCCAGGTAGGTCCGGCCGGCCAGGTAGCTAGATCCGGCCTGCCAGATAGCTAGGTCCAGGTAGGTCCGGCCGGCCAGGTAGCTAGATCCGGCCTGCCAGATAGCTAGGTCTGATATCTGAGATGGCAAATTGACATTGTGTTCTGTGATCACCATGCAATGACATACAGCACCACCGGAGCTATGGATAGTAAGGCTATCTCAGAGCTGCACGCCCTGATAATAAGCTACTTCATTCTTAACCATCCTAATATTTCAGATCTAATTGCAAACATCCAATTGCTGTAAGACATTCACTTGAATAAATATCCAATTGAGAGAAATACTGTATGCAACTTCAGTCAAAAGGGAAGATAATTCCATTGTTCATGGATTGGATATGTGTCTGATAAAGAGTAGTACAATATGTAACGTAAGACATACACTGTACTACTAACTCATTTAGAAACCAATGGGTTTATAGATTAAAATAGTCAGTGCACAGCCGCTGATGTAGCTGTGAATTATGCCAGAAAATACATACATATTCGGCACCTCAAATTAGCAGCACCTCAAGTGTCCGCATTCTGTACACTAGATGTCAGCATAGCACAGACAGAGATGATTTGCTCAAGTAAAACAAAAATGGAGTGGCAGTTACTATTTCTTAAATTACAAAAGCACTTTAGATACGGTATCGTATCGTTTCTATAGATCACCAGTGTTTGGGAAAAAATTGCCCAAGTTCAACAATGTCATTATTCATCATTCCCTGTGGTTTTATGAGAGAGAGAGAGAGAGAGAGAGAGAGAGAGAGAGAGAGAGAGAGAGAGAGAGAGGAGAGAGAGAGAGAGAGAGAGGAGAGAGAGAGAGAGAGAGAGAGAGAAAGGTGAGCGATGGCAGCACATGCAGGTGTGAAACCCCAATGTGAAACTCTCGTGTCGAAGCTCGGGGTGAGTGTGCTACTCTCACCCCCACCCTATTGTATACGCACACTTGTGATGTCATAGTTCCGTCAGTCAGTGAGAGAGAGAGAGAGAGGGTCAGGAGCTGTCAGCGTCAACGCAGCCCCAACGTAGTGATGACTGACAAATCAGTTGATGGCAGAAGATGGAGAGAACACATTACTCACAGCCACAGCCTTTGTTTGGGTTTAATCTGTGACAGGATCTAGAGGGGATTTTAGACAGCACAACATAAATAAATAAGGAGGAAGTGTTATTAAAGGTTTGATCAGATGGCCATCCGCAGGAACAAGAGTGTTTGTGTTTCTGAATAGACTGAGGGCACTATCAAAGTCAACCAGCAACATCTGAGACCTCATTGTGTTCGGGTTTTTCGCTCCACCCTTGTACTTGATTTATGAATTAAGGTTACTAAGTAGTAAGGAACTCCCCTAACCTGGTTGTCTAGGTCTTAATTGAAAGGAAAAAACTTAAACCTACCGACACTCGGCCCTCCGTGGAATAACTCTGACACCCCTGCTCTACATCATTGAAATATACACTCAGCATTACAGTCAGTTGCAATACAGCACACAAGAAACAAACACTGACAGAATGCTCACTATACAAACATGTCCTTATATTGCCTTCTCATAATATAAGTAAATCACCACATTTGGTCTCTCTAGTGGCCTACAGCATTGCAATAGAGACTCTGTATTTGCAATAGATAGTTGCAATGTTCAGAGTACACAAGCATCGATGACAGTATGTTCACCATGTTCACTATACAAACATGATGTTTGTCCTCTCAGAAACCTAACCAGTTGTTATCAATTTGTGTCACGGCAATGCTGTTTCAGAGCAGTAGTGAGAGCTTTAGTGGCTGGTGTTAAAAGCCCTTATTCATAAAGCATCTCATGATAGGAGTGCTAATCTAGGACACTTTATGAATACTGGAGCTGATATTAATCTTCTGTATTGGCTGGATATTCCTTTGAAAGTCGTAAGAATAGGAGAATCAACTTAAAACAGGTTCCCCTTCACTAAAATGAAGACTCAGGTGAATACATGACAAAGTCACAAAAGAGTCACACCACTCTATCGATTGAATCACCTACAGAATATATTAATGAGTCATATGGTCATAAACTCTTATGGTCATAAGACTCCTTCTCCTCAATGCATCTTGCCTATATTGCCATTCTATAGGCTGATCTGCTCTCTTATTTTTTTTAAATATTTTGTTAACAGTTCACTTAAGTTTTTGCATCGAACTGGCCACCTGGCCACCTTTTTCTTATTTTCAAAAGACTTCTCTCATGATATGGCTTCCCACAACATAATAGATATATTGATATCTGACTCCATCATGGCTCATTAGTGGCTCATGTCTTTCAC